TAATAATAATAATAATAATAATATTGATAATAATGAAAATTATAATCACGATTAGAACCATCATTATTCTTATGATTGTTAACATTATTATCATCACTGCAATTGGCATTACATTATTATTATTGTTATCAATATTATTATCATTTTAATAATTATTATCATTATTATTACTACTACTTTTATTTTTATTATTATTTTCATTGCCATTTATATTATTATGATTACAATAATAGTGATGGTAATAAAAAAATATTAGAATAATGGTAGTAATAATAATAGTAGTAATATTGGTAACAGTAATAACGATATAATGGTATAATGATATTAATAATAATAAATAAATAATAATAATAATAATAATAATAATAATAATAATAATAATGGTAATGATACTAATGACAGCAATTATAACAATAATGATGATAACAAGGAGAACAAAGGAAAAATTAATAATGATAATGATAATCATGATAATGATAATGATAATATAATTATAATAATAATTACAACAATGATAATGATAATAATAATAATAATAATAATAATAATAATAACAAATAACAACGATAATGATGGTGATAATGATAATGATGAGGACATAAGTGATGATACAGATGAACTGCATGAATGAGAATAAATGATGAATAGATGATACAGCCTCACACGAATAATCCCCCAGAATCATAGTCTGAATTATGTATAAAAAATACAAATGGTTTAATAGCCTATCAAGCCGATGGAAAATTAAATAGATACTGAGATATTCTTATATTATAGCTACCAAACAATAAGATTTACCAAGCAACAGCCTCTTTGTGTTTAATATTCTATTTGTTCCTATTGTGGCAATATGTCCAATAATGGTAATGGAATTTCTCATTAAGAAAATGAGACGATTATCTGCTGCATTTTGAAAATTAAGGAACAAATTTGAGGAGATTGTGCAATGCAGGAAAAGAACTAGAGAGAGAGAGAGAGAGAGAGAGAGAGAGAGAGAGAGAGAGAGAGAGAGAGAGAGAGAGAGAGAGAGAGAGAGAGAGAGAGAGAGAGAGAGAGAGAGAGAGAGAAAGAAAGAGAGAGAGAGAGTGTGAGAGAAAGAGAGAGTGCGAGGAAGAGAAGAGAGAGAGAGAGAGAGAGGAGAGAGAGAGAGAGAGAGAGAGAGAGAGAGAGAGAGAGAGAGAGAGAGAGAAGAGAGAGAGAGAGATATAGGAGAGAGTTAATTGAGAGAGAGAAATATAGTTTAATAGAGAGAGAGAAAGAGATGGAGTGATAGAGAAAGAAAGAGAAAGATTTATATAGAGAGAGTGTGTGAGAAAGAAAGAGTGCGAGGAAGAGAGAATATAGAATAGAGATATCGTATTTCTTCTTTTTCCTTCCATGTGGTCTGTTTCCCTGTAACAGCTACAAGATTATTCTGCTGTCGCTCCATATTAGGCAGTGGGGCATCGCGGAGAAGTGGAATCTCCTCTCATTGGAAGGAAGGCACTTGATATGTCTTATTTAGACAAAGATATTGAAATCACTGTCGGAATTTTCCTTTACTGCGCAAATAAATTAGTAAATATTTATGTACATTCGTATATATACATATAAATATATGTATATACACACACACACACACACACACACACACACACACACACACACATACACACATATATATACACACATATATACATCTATCTATCTATCTACACACACACATATATATATATATATAATATATTATATATATATATATATATATATATATATGTGTGTGTTGTGTGTGTGTGTGTGTGTGTGTGTGTGTGTGTGTGTGTGTGTGTGTGTATTATGTGTATATATATATATATGTATATATATATATATATATATATATATATATATATATATATATATATATATATATATTCATGCATGATATGAATATAAATACCCCCCCCCCAAAAAAAAAAAAAAAAAAAAAAAAAAATACCCTACTTCTACTATGGATAGCATGACTTAAAGGTCTTTATATGGCCTGTGGGGTGGATTGAGTTAATTTCTCTGTTGAGTGTGTGACAAAGATACAATGGTCACAGATATATTTTTACCAATTTTTTATTCTATAAACAAATAACAATAAAGAAGTATATCACAATGTAAATCTTTATATAAACAAGGAATATATACTTACTTAATTCAAGTCAAGGGTTAACTATATATTCAACAACCTGCTTTGGCAAACTAATTAAGAATCTATACTTACAAAAAAGATAAAAACAAACCTAAGAGAGGACCAAGTCAGTCCCTTTCATTGTTCACGGTATCTTTCCATTATTTACTTTGATATGAAATAATAAATACTTTCTTACTTCCATGATTTTCTTTTACTCTGAGATATATTTTCATTCTCAACTTGTTCCTTGATACCACGGGAACTTCTCCTTTAATTAATTCCATGGCTGTATCCACAGTCTTAAAAAGATTGATAATACAAATATTCCCCAATGACATGGCAGGCGTCATGGCGTGTGGCATTGCCTCATCTTCCTCTTCCCCTTTTCCTTCTCTGTGTATGGGAGGAGAGCGAAGACACCATCTAAATCAATACACAGGGATTCCATAATTATATTGATTCACCTTCAGTTTTCGGGTAAAACAAGGATTCTTAATACCAGCACTTAACATAGCTATGTGCAGGAGAGCAAGGACACTGTCTAACAAGACTATACGATACTCCTGCTTATTATCCCCCCCCCCCCCCACATCCATTGAATTGTTAATATTTGAACAAATCAAAAAGTTATAGATGATTATTATAACTTACCCAATTAGTAATATCAATAAATTTTGCTATATTAATATACTTTTACAGGATAAATATGCGTAACTAAGCATTTTAGTGGGGTTTATACATGTGTGTGGTAGAAATTCCCCACAATGCACAAACTTCAATTATCGAAAATGATCAAGACAATAGTCAACTTTGTGAGGGGTTAAGGACAGGGGCCCGGATTCACTAACATACGATCGTAACGCATTTACCAGGAGTCATTTACCACCGCAGGTACCAGTAATGGTAGGAAAGTGGTATTCACTAAGCAATGGTAACTCACCTTGTCAGTGTTACAATCGTAAATTGAAATTACCACTCTCGTTCCAATGGTTGCCAACAGATGACAATCTTTGTGGTCTGGTAAAAGAATTGGACCAATCAGCGAGCGCCATACACAATACTTTAGGCGCCTTCGGCCAATTACGTATCATGTAAACAAAGACCCAGCAGAAGAGCGTTGTTTTTTTTTACATTACTGCAAGAATGTCTTCAGTTTCTAAGAAAAGGAGGCCAAACTTCACCCATGATGAGCTCATGGCGCTCATTGCAAATATTCAGCTTCACCAGGAGATCTTAGAGGGGCCCCTGACTGCCACCGTGACCCATCAAATGAAGCTAAGAGCGTGGGAGGTGACAGCAGTACTCAACGACGGGCAAGACGTTGCGAAGCCCCGAGGAAGTGAAGCTGAAATACATCGATTTCAAAAGTCACGCGAAGAAGCTGAACTTCAGAAAAAAACTGCAAACCGCCACAGGTTAGTTTAAATGCCAGGAATATGTAGGCTTAAATATTCAGCGCGTAACTTTGAAATTAGAAAATTGTTTTGAATAAAATCATAGTTCTGCATTATTGACTAATTTGTCTGAAATATCCTCAGATTATCTGACATTATTGCTGTATAATGTTTTCTGTAATAGTATTGGAGAGATTCATGTAATAATATTTGCAGGAGGAGGTCCATCCATAGCTCCACCTCTGACTCCTGCTGAGGAGGCCATGGCCCAGCTTATTAACCCGGCTGTGGTATATGGCATTTCTGATTCTCTGCAGTCAGAGTCTGCTGAAGCTGTTGCTGAAATCAGTAAGTAAACCTGAATCTAATTTGGACTTACTACTCAGTGGTAACAGTTCTTTATATCTGATACATATTGAAAGTTATCATAGGAAGCTTTTGTTCTTGTTCGTAACAAACTGATAATAATGTGATGTCACATGTAATTATTGTTTATTGCAGCAGTCACATGGTGTCATGATGGACACACTATATGTAGTATATTGTGTTAATTTCATGTTCTTATCCGACAGCAGCCGTGTATGTTGAGGAGGATGAACGTCTTTCTCCCATCACCGCTGAGCCAGTGACAGAAACACCAGTACATAGTAGGCCTAGCAGCAGGAGTTCTGGTACAGCGCAGCAACCGTTATCAGCTCGCATGCTGGAGGTACAGGAGGGTATCCTCGATGAGGTTCGAGGATTCGAAATGCCCTGGAGGGCCAGACAACAGCTCTTCAGAATATTAATGCAACATTACTTGAGTTTACAAGCATTTTGAGGACTATCAAGAAACCATAATGTGTATCTATTGTGAAATTTTGTACCTTTCCTCCTCCCCCCCCTCTCTCTCTCTCTCTCTCTTTTCATTTCCCTTTCTCTCTCATCGTCATTTTCCTTCTTTGTTTCCCTCTCCCTCTCTTTCACGACTTTTTTTTTTCTATTGGTCTTTGTTATGGCTTGTCAGATGTTAATAAGTGGAATAATAGTGCCTTTGCTTAGGTCACAGAAATCCTTGAAATTTAAACGTGGCATCCATACTTTTCTTATCAATATGTATTGCATATTATTATTTATATATATATATATATATATATATATATATAAAGGAAACATTGTCACACAAGAAAAACAGGCATAACCATTGGTTCACAAGCGTATTTATTTACACAGATATATTTGCACATTCCAAAATTAATCCTTTCCATATGAATTACAAATATTTGCTACGGGAAAAGCTATAGAATACAAACTCAACTAACATATAACCATCTTTGGTAGAAAATAAGAGATAAATATGAAAAACTCCTCAAAATCAAAACCACTTTAAAAACAAACTCATTAATGCCAAAGTAAAGTCTCCCATACGACTAGAAAATCAGAATGAGCCATTTATTAATGCCACCCTCTCCTACTGAGCACTTCTCTCAGGAATGAAATTCATCACTGCTTCCTGGGTCGTCATTTTCAAGGATGTCATGGAAAGGTATGCCTCTTTTGACACAGATATTGTACAGAAGCGTGCAACAAGCTACAATTTATGCACACTTCTCTGACGTATATTGGAGTGCACCACCTGACTTATGCAAGCAGCGGAACCTACTTTTCAGCACCCCAAAAGTTTGTTCTATAACTGCTCGTGTGCGAGCATGGCTACTGTTGTAGCGTACTTCTGCTGCCGTTCTTGTTTCTGCCAGAGGTGTCATGAGGCAAGTTTCAAGAGGATATCCTGAATCCCCTGCAAGGCAACAATAAAGTACTTTGGTCAACTGTACATATCTATGACTTTACAAATGTATATATGTATATGTATATCTCGATCTATCTATCTATATACTTACAAAGTAAGTATGAGTGCCCAAACTGTTGTTCTTGGAAGTGTCGACGCAAAATGCTGTCATTCTAGATGTATGAATAATGCACACTTCCAGGGAATTTTGCAGAAAAACTCAAAATTCTCGAATTTGCATCCGATACTACTTGAACATTTAAAGAATGGACCCTCTTTCTATTTAGATAAAGATGTTCTTGCCTTGGAGCTTTGATTGGAATGTGGGTACAGTCAATGGCCCTCAGCACGTTTGGGAAGCCACAAACTGCGAAGAAGTCCTGTTTGATCTTCTGAATTTCTTCCCTCCTACGAGGCATCTTTATGTCCCTCTGAGCTATGTTGAAAATAGCATCAGTCACAGCATTTATGATGCGAGACACACTGGACTGCTAATTCCAACAAAGTCCCCTATCACACTCTGAAAGCTGCCACTTGCGTAGAATCGCAAGGCAACCAGCACTTGTGTGGCCACAGGTACTGAGTGGGACCTGTTGGTGTGTCTTGAAATATCGGCCCCGATGCTTTCGCACAGCCACTGGGTATCATTGCGAGGGAACCTGTAGTATCTGTAAAATATTAGGTTTAGATCACTGGTCAGCGAATTGTCATTTCTTAATCTCCAAAATTTAAGTTTTTATAACATATTTCATAGAAATTGCCACTTCTTCAATACCTTAACAGATGGGCATCACTAACTGCCAGAGGGTTAAGTCTTTGAACACCCTTTCTCTCCTCAGTCGGTCATGCTCCAGTGCCCATAAAAGCTCCATTCTGCAATTGCATTAAATAAACATCATGAGAATCAGCATATCTACAAGTTCAAATTTGTGTGTGTGTGTGTGTGTGTGTGTGTGTGTGTGTGTGTGTGTGTGTGTGTGTGTGTGTGTGTGTGTGTGTGTGTGTGTGTGTGTGTGTGTGTGTAGCCTATATATATATATATATATATATATATATATATATATATATATATATATATATATATATATATATATATATATATATATATATATATATATATATATATATATTAAAGGCAGATTTTTCAGTATTTCAAACATTTCCTTCTTTATATTACATTCAGTGACTTTTATTATGATCTTCATATAATTGTATATATGGAAATACATATTGGTAATAGTGTTTTATTTTATGCCCATTTGTTTGGAGTACGGTTTTAAAAACGCGCCAAGGTATCAGAGTTGCCAATCGGTGTGTCAGATTTAGGTACACTGCTTATACATCTAGGATAAAATAGTAGGCCTTGTAAAGATGCTGGCGTAGATCTATTAATTAAAGAAAACATATTGTAAAAGGTATTTGAGTTTGTGTTATCTTTTTTAGGCTTGACACATAGTACAGCCTTCGTGCGGATTAGCAACATTGCTCAGGCTTTAACGGTCGTTGTTTTAAGCATAGAGCGGTGCAGTTCTTAGCCTCAGAGCAAAGAATTCCAGATCAACTGAACCTCTGATTAAGAGAATGTTCATTTTCCTTTGTCCCCAAACATGTTCGTCACTAATTATCGTCAGTCACGGAGCTTGTCCAAACTCGGTTTAGAGAGTGTTGCTCTTATCAGTTCGTAGCTGCTGCTACAATAGTTTTACGTAGTTGTTACCAATTTATGCATTAAGTTTCTCTTATTTTTAATTGATAACTAGTTACATGAGAAACATATCTTAGGATTCATTTATCTACCGATGATACGTAATATTCACACTGGGCTTGAGGCCTATGTCTCCCGGAAATTTCGCAGGGTTATTATTCATCCTGATTTCATGTGAAAGTAGCATCATTTTGCCTTGTTCATGCGCTATTAAATGCTTACCATTGTTCCAATCATAATACTTACATAAACAACCCAAAAGCCTACCTTAGCTATTGACTTATGAACAGAAAAACACGTGAAGAGCTCGATTTCTCTGCATTTACCAGGTGACATACCAGTGCTCTGACCACTGGTAAAATTTACCATGGTAAAGTTACCATTGATTTTACCATCGTAAGCGCGTTAGTGAATCCGGGCCAGGGAAGAGAGGCTGGTGACAGCATCTCAACATAAATAGCTTGTATCCCGGGAATACAACAACACAGGCCATCAGATGGATTGGTCAGCTGCACGCACTGTCTTTCCTTCTGTTGTTATCCATCCCCGCATTCTGGTGGAATCTTCCTTAATCAAGCTGCTTTCTACTTTTTACTTAGATAGTGGCTTTTCTCCTGCCGATAGTCTCATCGCTTCCCACTTCCTGTGCTGGCCACCCTTCAAATGGACGACCTGATCCTTCGATCGGACCTGACCGCCTTAAACCTGTTCACCTGTCCTCACCTGCCTCGCGTTCACCACGTTGCCTCTCCTTTCTCTCTTCAATACACCCCCCTTTTCCCACTCCCCTCTTAGGCACGGCCGCACATAAGTAAAGGCCCGGGACGGAGCCAGACCGCAAATCTCAATGAATGGAACCCATGTCAAATCTGAAGATGGACAATTGTCTCCCTTTTTTTCAGTAATTCCAGTCCGTTTTTTTTTTTTTTTTTTTTTTTTTTTAACGCTGTATCCAGACGGTAAAGTATTTTCCTATTCACACACACGCGCTAATATATATACTTACATAACTTGAACTTAAACACACACACATACACAGACACACACACATATATATGGTAGAAAAAGCCACAATGCACAAACCAGAATTATTGAAATAAGTGAGACAACAGTTTCGGAATCGTCCTCGATTGCATCTTCGAAGATAAAATCGAGAAGGATTCCGAAACTGTTGTCTCACTTTCCTGAAAGAATCTAGTTTTTGCATTGTGGGTTTTTCAACCAAAGTATCAACGCGTAAGTGTTATTCCATTCATATATATATATATATATATATATATATATATATATATATGTATATATATATATTGTTGTTATTATTATCATTATTATCATTTTTACTATCGTTATTACTATGTCATCTTTATCATTCTTTTTACCATCATGGTTATCATTATGATCATTATTATCAATATTATCACTATGATCATTATCTTATTTACCTTTTGAAACATTTTCATTCAAGTATGGTATAGTTCACTGCCGTAAGACATCACCAAAAGCAACGTTTTGTTCATAATTGCTTATTCTGATATCGAAGAAGGAAACGAACGCATGGGCAAGAAACTTCTGTTTTTCTCAGCAGGAGGTGAAGATGCTCAGGGAAAATGGTCTCTTTGGCCTCATCCTCGTAGACGCTCTCAAAAGTTGGAGTATTCCGTGAGTTCCCGAGACGCGGCCTCAGTATTTACGAGTCTCCTCCGGGGAACGGGCAGGGGAGATAACTCTCGTAAGCTGATTCATATCCTCGGGACCATCAGGAACTCCGGAACAGCGGTCAGGAAAGGTTTCCGAGGAGGTGGGATTAAGAGTTCTTGATCTTACTCTTCACCCTTAAGATCTTTTATCTTCACGTTCGTTTTCATCTTCGTCTTCCTCATCTACAACCTCATCCTCGCCTTCTTGACGCTTGTATTATTCCGGAGAAGAGTTTTCGTGAGCTTAAGATGCATTCTATTCTTTGGAGAGAAAACTGCGGATTTAGACGATAAGCTTTCATGTTTATCAAAACTTACGAAGATTTTTGCTGTAATCTAAGCACGCAGCGTTTTTCCCAGTATGTCTGTGTCTGCCTGTAGGTGTCATTTGTGTGCGTGCAAGTAAGTATGCGTGTGGGTGTATGAATACATGAATCCGAAATAGTGTTTGTTCTATAATGTAGCGGTAACCCCCTTCTCGCCGGATTCACTAAAATCGAGGGAAATCCGTTACAGGCTTGAGATAATAATAAAAATACCGATTTCAGTCAAAGGAAGCTAGTTTGAAATTTCTCTACAAAAATATTAGAAATCTCACCCAACTGACGAAATACGCTGATAATCCGCGGCTGAAAAGCCATCAAAACCAAGATGAGCGTTACCTGCAAAATAATCCCTCAAGCTAATCGCGACTTATCGTTGGCAGGAAAGAGCGGAGGAAGGTCATCTTGCCAATTTCCTCACCAATATGTCGAAGACGCAGGAGAACGAACAGGATAAAGGAGACTAGGCTGATTCATGCTATTTTCTTCTTGATGTAAATTTATATTTTCTTTGATTATGTGTGTGTGTGTGTGTGTGTGTGTGTGTGTGTGTGTGTGCATATATATATATATATATATATATATATATATATATATATATATATATATATATATATATATATATATATATATACCTATATATATTGTTATGTTGTGTGTGTGTGTGTGTGTGTGTGTGTGTGTGTGTGTGTGTGTGTGTGTGTGTGTGTGTGTGTGTGTGTGTGTGCATATATATAATATATATATATATATATATATATATATATATATACATATATATATATATATATATATATATATATATATATATATTATATATATATATATATACCTATCTGTTTATGTGTGTGTGTGTGTGTGTGTGTGTGTGTGTGTGTGTGTGTGTGTGTGTTGTGTTGTGTGTGTGCATATATATATATGTGTGTGTGTGTGTGTGTGTGTGTGTTGTGTGTGTGTGTGTGTGTGTGTGGTGTGTGTGTGTGTGTTTGGTTTGTGTATATAATATATAATATATATATAATATATATATATATATATATATATATTATATAATATATATATATATATATATATATATATATATATATATATATATATATATATATATATATAAATATATAATGTATATATATATATATAATATATATATATATATATATATATATATATATATATATATATGTATATATATATAATATATATATGTATATTTTATATATATATATATATACATATATATATATATATATATATATATATATATATAATAATAATAATAATAATAATAATAATAATATAAATAACAATGATAATGACAGTATTGATAATACTACTAATAATTTTAATCTATTGATAATATTATTATTAATTATTATAATAATAATAATAATGATAATGATAAAAAATAATAATGAAAATGATAATAACAATAAAAGCAACAACAATAATAATGATAATAATATGATTAATCATATGCAATAAATAACAGTGTTGATACGCTAATAAAACCTAGTTGAATCTAAGGCACTTGGCATGCAGTTTAACTCGCGACCCTTCTATAAGCAACAATAAAATGAGTCAGTGGGGATCCCCATGCGAGTTGAATTCACATCTGTCAACTCATCTTGCAAGATAGTTGGGGAGAAAAGAAGGACAAGAATAAAGGTGTGGAGGTATCTTGAGAATCCACAGAT